AAAAAAAAAAAAAAAGAAGGACCTCTGGACTCCAGGAAACAAACTGAAGGTTTCAGAAAGGAGGGTGGTGAGGGGATGGGGTAACCGGGTGATGGGTATTAAGGAAGGCATATGCTATGATGAGCACTGGGTGTTATACCAACTAATGAATTATTGAACACAACGTCAAAAACTAATGATGTATTATATGTTGGCTAACTGAACTTAATAAAAAAAAATAAAAATAAAGTTCATTTAAAATCCAAAAATAAATAAATAAATAAATAAGGACCAAAGGTCAAGAGAAGGAAGAAGAGTCCGTGGTCAATAGGGGCTATACAGATTTTGGTATGGTGGGCTTGGGCTAAGGACATTGGATTAAGGTCCACTCCCAAGCACATCAAATGTCCAGATATCTACTAAAACACTAGCATGCAGTATGGTAGTGGCATCTCTGATTCAGCCCACTGAATGCTGGCTCACTGTAGGAAGGAATCAGACCTAGTACCTGAACTAATGTTTCCTCCAATATCTGAGATAAACAGGGGATGTTTTGTGGTCAGAGCCACCACCAGGGACAAGGTATGGCTTCCTAGATATATATCCTTGGGTGTCTCCAATTCTCTGGGGCTGGTCTAGAGAGATAATTGTATATACAGGCCAGTCACTAACATTTGCAGTGGCTGAAGTACAAATTAAGACCTTTGGCCCATGTCCTTAATCTCTTCCCATTGCCAGCTATTTCTTACGCCAAGAGGTGTCTTACACCCAACCCTGAAAACAACTCAGCCTACAACATCAAGCTTTGTACATCCTTTGCTTTTACAAACAGTGGCCTCCTGGCAACATTTTGGATCTAAGAGTATGTATTCCACAGGCCCAGACCTCCCTTCCTTAGGAGGGACATTGGGAATAGGGCCTTACAGAATCTAGAAGCAGCCTTGGGGAATGAGGGAGCCTAAAATATTTTCTACAGGGGCACCTGGGTGGCTCAGTCAGTTAAGCATCTGCCTTCATGATCCCAGGGTCCTGGGATAGAGCCCTGCATCAGGCTCCCTGCTCATCCGGGAACCTGCTTCTCCCCCTGCCCCTCCCCCTGCTTGTGCTTTCTCTAATAAAATATTTTAAAAAATATTTTCTACAAAAATTGCAGGGTGTTGGACACCCAGCTCTGTAGTCTGAATATAGACTAGGCGGAAACCTCTAAAATATTGGACCCAGGAGGAAGGCCCTTCCTGGCCAAGTCTATGCCAGAATTGGCCATATACCAGAAAAGCAAAGAGAGGAGGAATATGGCAAAGTAGAGAGAGGGAGATCCTTTTACTGGTTTGGTTTATTTTTTCATTCCATTCCTTTACTGTGTTCTCCCACTGTGTTTCCACAACTTCCTAAAAAACAGCTGAGTTTCATTATGGAAGTGTAAAGTGTAGCACATAAAAGATCGTATCATCAGTTATTCCCAAAAATGTATATATCCTGTTCACAGAATGGTGGTGTATGTCCATCCAGTTCTCTCCAAATATGTCTGTACACACCCACACACTCATACCTGCTCACAAATTTAGTCACATTTTTTTAAATGAGATTATCCATTAACACATTTTTTTCAATAAATATCTGACCGTTTTCATATCATTAACCTTGAATCATCCTCCCAGACCTTCCTTTCCCCCACACAGACCTCAGGAGTCCCCTTTCCCAACACACAAATTTTTTCCTCCTCTAGAAACAGACCTTTTCCCTTGGTACTCCTGACTCATGCTGTTCTCCTCCTTCCTGAGATTTCCTTCCAGCACTCCCTACTCCCATCTGGGAAGTATTTCCCCCAACACACACACACACACTCATGTCCTCTTTCCTGACCCTGAGTATCTCCTTCACCCCTCCTTGGGCTGAACCCTGCTCCCTTTTCTTGTCTAAATTTGCAAATCACCTACGGTAAGAGGGTATATACCATATAAATGGGAATTTCCTGGACAAAATTCCATTTTAGATAGTAGAAATAAATGATTGAAGGAATAGTATTTTATTCCCTCTCTCTTCCAAAGAACTCAGCTAGCACACTAACAACTTTCTTTAATCCTCTAAAATCAGATGTAGGATTAAGTTTTTTGGACAGTAAAAAAACCACTACATCGGGTGCCTGGGTGGCTCAGTTGGTTAAGCGACTGCCTTCAGCTGGGGTCATGATCCTGGAGTCCTGGGATCGAGTCCCGCATCGGGGTCCCTGCTCGGCGGGGAGTCTGCTTCTCCCTCTGACCCTCCTCCCTCTCATGCTGTCTCTCATTCTCTCTCTCTCAAATAAATAAATAAAATCTTAAAAAATAAATAAAAATAAAAATAAAAAAACCACTACATCTTAGAAATGAAGTTAACATTTTTATTTTATTCATTCAAAAATTTCATTATACAAAGGTAACATGGAAAAGAGAAATCTCAACTCAGGGGCAAAGGCAGGCCCTTTTCAGGAAAATGTGGGCCTGGAATCAGGGGCCAATAGCAAATGAGTGCTAGGTAGTACAGTTATGGGAAAGAGAGGCTTTAAAACTGCCTCTCCAAACAACAGCCATCAAAATTTCTCATTATGTTGGTTAATAGCTAGAACACTTGTAAACCTCACAGGTTAACTGCAGAGCAGGCACCCCCTTCAGGTCAGTGGGTGCATGCTAATTTCTTTTGCAGTTGTCACACCACTGGAGGTGTAGGGGAGGAAGGCACGCTCCCTGTTTCAGCCTCCTCTCCTGGAGACAGAGGGCTCAGGGCTTCAAGCTCTGGCAGCAAGGCACGCCTCAGGCTTGCAGGACTAGGAGTGGAGATGGAGCCCAAGCTACTAAACTTAGGGGAAGAGGTGCTCTGGCCAGAAAAATTAGTGGAGGAGTAGGAAGAGGAAGAGGAAGAGGAAGAGGAAGAGGAAGAGGAAGAGGAAGAGGAAGAGGAAGAGGAGGGGCTCTGGCCAGAAGACCCGGAAGAGGAGGTAGAAGAGGAAGAGGAGGAGCTCTCACCATACTGCGCAGGGAAAGGAAAGAGCCTACCAGGAGGTGAGGGAGAGGAGGCACGCATACGGACTGCATGCCAACGGGGCTGGGCACCAAGGCTTGGGACCTCAGGATCAGGAGAGCTTGAGCTGCTCTGGTACACCAGCCTTCGTAAGGCTACCCCAGGGGAAGAAGGAGGACTCGGGCCAGTAGGCACAGGCAGAGACGCGCGGCTTCTAGGGGATGACCTATGGATGATGCGGCTCCGGAGGACAAAGCCTGGAGTCGGACAGCCGCTGCGGAGGGCAGGGCCTATCGGGTTGGCTCGGCTTCGGAGGGCAGGGCCTGACCCGGATGCACGGCTGCGGAGAGCAGGGCCCGGTGGGCTGGCGTGATTATTGAGGGCAGAGCCTAGCCCAGATGCACGGCTACTGGAAGCACGGTTGCG